GTTAAACCCCTGACAATCTGATGGGATACCCTATGAAACTCCTCTCTCAGCCAGTCCTACCCAACAAGCAAAGATGCATTTCACTTGAGATTTGTTGCCCTGCTTGTGTGCAGAGACCATCAGGCAACGGGGAAATTCCTGGAACAACACTTGATAACCTTTAACAGAAAACCAATGCAGACAAATGCTCCAGCCCCATTATTCCACTGGGAGCTGTCCATTTTTGCAACCTTTGGTGCAGTGGGATGGGACTGAGCAGCAGGTTTTTGGGAATAGGTTTTATTTTAGATGCTTTATATATTGAAATGGAAAAGCCTCTTTTAATTTGCTTTGTCTCCAGTGACCATAAGCTTGCCAAGAGCCAAGTCAACGTTCTATGATTAAATGTGTTTGCTGCTGATTCTCTCAGGAGTCAGTGGTTCTGAAAGCTCAGGATCAAATTCTAAAAGTATCAAAGACAGCTTTTTAAAAACAAAACTACAAAATGTGTCTAATTACATTTAACTATCTGTGTAAATGATAGTCCCTGGTATTTAATTATTTAATTAAACCAAGTTATAAAATGGAGAGACCTTTCTAACGCCAGTGATGCAATAGTGGTAAAATTGATGTATCTGGCAAAAGTAATTCTTTTAGAAAATAGTGGCCTGTTATAGATTTGGAATTAAAGGAAGAAAAATTAATCTAAAGTGTTTAAATATGTATACTCTCTGCAGTAAAAATTTTACCTGCAATGACATTTTCATTTTGTTTGTTACTTAATAGATATCTAGCAGTACATTTCATTACTTTTTTTCTTTCGATTACTATTTGTAGTTTATGGACTTTGAAATCACAATAAAATAGAATTTATAAAGTTGTTCTAACTCCCTGGGTTCCTCTCAGAGAACTGGGGATGCAATTCTGTAGTTAAATGAAAACAAAACAAAACAAACAACTGCTGAAAATGAGTGTTTTAGACCACAGTTGTAAAAGTATAGTTGGGATTTTCAAAACCACTCAGCAATGACCTCACTCGTTGTCCCTTGAAATAAATGGGAATTTTACAATTGGCTTTGAAAAGGTATTATAGAGTTAGGTTTATTGTGAGTGCTTTTGAAAATCCTACTTGTAAATTGTGGAAGCCCCAAAGGTTAAAATTCAGTTCATGGTTGCCCTTATCTTTAATGGTTCTTGGAGAATGGAATGATCTGAGCACAGGATTTGGGGACAGGAATTTCTGAGTCCTTAATCTCATTCTGACACTGACTTCCTCTGTGACCTTGAGCAAAACACTTAAACCTGCACTTTAAAACTTTAGTGCCTGAAGTTAGGCACCTAAATCATTATTTAAACACCTCAGAAAGTGGTCTGAATTTTCTTTTAGAGCTACTCAGGACCCACAACTCTTATTGACTTCAGTCGGAGCTATAGGGCTGAAAATCAGGCCAATTATATAGATGCCTAACTTTAGGCATCATGGCACAAATCCACAAAGGTACTTAGACACCTAAGTCACAATTTTAGGCTCCACTGTGACCCACAAAACTCTCTCAGCTGCTGCCTAACCCTATAGGTCCCTAAACACACTCAGTGCTTAAGTTTTTGCAATTAAAGTTCCCTGGCACCTAAATTTCTGCTGCCTCACTGTATGCAGCTGAACACCTGTCTTCTGCCTAAGCCCCAGAGTGATCCACAAAGTGGGGGAAGATAGGGATTCATCCACCTCACTTGCATGCAGGGCCCAATTTGGTAGGTGCGCTCAGAGGCCACGTACTGGATGAGGACCCTTCAAAAGCTGGCTGGAGGAGGAGGTGCCACCATATAACTTTTAGCCTCCTAGTTAGAACACTTACCTGGGTTGTGGGAGACCCCAGTTCAGCAAGGGAGAGAAAGGATTTGAACAGGGGTCTCCCACTCCTGTCAGCTAAGTGCTCTAATCACTGAGCTCTGGGATATTCTGATGTGGGGTTCCCTCAGTCTCTCCTGTTGAAGTTGTTCCACTTTGTATAAATAATTAGTCACTGGAGCAGGGAGATCAGATGCTGGGTTCTCCCAGGTGTGTGCCCTAACCACTAAGCTATAGAGTTATTCTCAGTCTGATTCTCTCTGGCCTAATGACTCTTTAATTATTTATCCAAACTTAGGCGAGACTAAACAAGAGAGGAGGACACTACACATCACAATATCCCCTATCTTAGTGGTTAAAGCACTCCCCTAAGACCCCTGGGAGACCCCTGTTCAAATCCTTTTTCACCCTCTGGCAGAGGGGGAAATTGAACCCAGGTGAGTGCACTAAGCACTGGGCTAAAAGTTATAAGGTGGGAAGTGGCACCACCACTGTGCTGATGGTTTATGGCATATTCAGCATCTGAGCCAGCCCCACTTATGTTCCAGTTAATTTATTTTCTTTTTTCTTAAGCAGAGGCAGTAATACATAGTAAATGTGAGACTTCATTGCCTTGGCTGGCATTGCAGGACACAAAAGAGCAACATCACAGAGTGGCAGTGGGAAGGAAAGTCATGCCTAAAGGAAAAAGTAACAGGAAAAAAAATAACTAGTCTGCTTGTGGCAAGATCAGTTAGTTGATCTGGAATAAGGGCATCATTTTGTTTTCACTGTTGTATGAATTCAAAAACGGGTCCAATATTCCAATACCAGAAAGTCTTTTAGCATCTTGGTTAATTATAAGTAATGCAATCACACTTACTAAACTCTGTCGTACTCCCTCACACTTCCACGCTCTGGGCTCCATCACCATATACTCTTTGGCTTGCTTTGATCATGCCATTAACTGAAAATCTAAAGCAGCAGCAGAACTAATTAGAGACTGGAGTTCTCATCCAAGCCGGAGAAGACTTAGTGGACTGAGCACTAGATATGGCATAGCTAGTTTCTCAGCTATCACATGTTCAAAGTCTGGCCGAATCAATTCAGCCCTTCGCTATGTTCAGGCCATATAGCTGACTATACAAATCTTTCAAAAGAGACCAAGTCCTGGCAAGAGAATGCAGCTACTGAAATGCCTTAACTATCTACAGATCACTAGTCTCAGGACATCTACAATTCCTTTACTTCAGGAAACAACTGAAAGTAATAAACTCATCCATAAATGAAAGTACCTACCTTTTATTTTTATAGGTTCATTTATAAACCATGTATGGCTTGAGCAGCTGTAAAATGCTTAGCCCTGGACCCACTGAAGTTAATGGAAGTTGTATCATTAGCTTGAGGGGAAGCAGGGTTTGTGTTATGAAATTAAAACCCACCACAACTTACATGAGCTATCCATAGTGAGTGGCAGTAAAGAACCCCAGCTGATCTGGCTTATGGAAACATTGGCAATATTCCTCTCATTTTTCAGGAATAAAATAGAAGAATTTTAAAAATCAGAAGCAATAAACCAAATAGACACATGTTGCAGCATGTCTACTAGTCTTAGTCACAGCAGTTCACTGGTCTTGGGTGCTTAGGGACTGTGAAGGGAAGCAATTTCCAATGCTGGAGGCCCTTGTTGGAGAGAAGTCACTGCAGCCAGCCTCAGAGTCTCACCTCGTGAACCAATAGCAAGAGTATTCGAGATGCTCTTATCTGCTGTAGGGGGAAATAGAGCAAGGGGCAGCCTGCAAGACAGCCAGATTCCAGACCATTCAGGCCTTTAAAAGTTATCAATCGTCATCCACATTTTGAATTGCATCCCAAAGTCAATGTAGAACAGCACAGATGGTATGTGCTCAGAAGCTGTCCTACTTCAGCAGGTGGACAGCTGCTGCGTGCTCCTGGGTATTAAGCAGAGTGTATTCAGATTATGGATAACACTGGAAAAGCACTGTAGATGGTGCCAGTTTTGGCAAAGTTCCCTTTTCAACAGTCTGACTGTCAAATCCCCCATGTTAATCTGCTGACTCTGCCCCTGACAGGTGAAAAGGAGCGTTGAGAACAGCTATGAGCATGAGCACTGGGGAAATGAAAAAGGCAGGCTGGAAATGAGGAAAAAATAGACTAAGTGAAGAGAAAGAATACAGTAAATTATGACAGACAGACAGATACTGTTGTACTCTTTCACTAGAAGAATTTATTTCAATCCCTTTGCACCGTTTGATATAGAAAATTTCAAGGGAAATACAGGTGTCTCTGGCAACGCTTTTGCCTGACCCGACTCTATCTATATAGAAGCTGATAGCCAAGTATTTACTTGATTACCTAGAAGCAGGTGTGACAAAACCAATCTTGTTCTTGTTTATTTTAGCAGTATCACTCCAGTCAGTATTACAAAGAGTCTGTCAGAAAGCTATTATTTCAAAAGGATGTAAGCTATGGCTGTACATTTGCTCTGGTCTGAAATTCACTAATACAGTGCAATTTCCAGACCTGGATAAAAAAAATGTTTGCATGATTTGTAAAAAAATAGGAGGCCAACCCCGCTTTACTCACACAAGTGAATCGAAGAGGAGAGTAAGGGAGCATTGAAGCCAATGGGACTACTCCCATGAGTAAGAGTTAAAGGATCAGGCTCTATATTTGTCCTTTAAAATGGGTGCGTAGGTGGGAAGAGAAAAGGGCCAGATTCTCAAGTGGTATAAATTAATGTAATCACTAATTTACACCAGCAGAGGATCTGACCCTATATGAGTAGTGCTAAATTCTTCCCTCGGGTATTCATGTGCAGATCCCACTAACTTCAATGAGACTTGAGTAGAATTTAGTTGTTGTTTCTTCACACCATGCTCACTCCCACATAGGATATGAGCTCTGGTGTGAAAACATACTCTGCCAGAAGCATTTCTCCAATGTTTCCTTTTGTAAGCAATAGATCCTCTTTGTAAATTCTGTAAAACATGGTGGATAAAAAATTTAACTTCCTTTGCAACTACAGAAATCATTTCCCAGTGGCATTTTGCAAACATTCAGCTAAAATGGGCACTCTTCCTTTTTTTAAAGTGTCAAATGGATAAAAAAAACCTAAACTCCTATGTTGATTAGTTTTGCTTAGCATTTTCCCAGAAGAGTTGGTACTTACATAAACCTGAGCTCTGATTCTCTTCTGACTAAGACTTCCCGAAGCCTCTGGATCTTTGCCATCTCCAATTCGATTTCCTCAGGCATCATTGTTGTTTCAGCCATTGAGATGATGTCAAGTTGATCTACGTGTATGAAGGAAGACAGGAAATGAATGAGGATGGACAAACTGACTTAGCAGGACCTTTAAAGAATGCAACTTAATCACAGAGGTGCCAGGCCATGGTGCAATTAATGTGGGTAGCAAGGAACATAGTAGCTGGATGGTAGGTGGACTGGTCCTTTCTTGTTTTGCTGGGTACTTTCAATGATTTTTAATCATTTAAAAATAAAAGGATTCCTATAAATCTCTAATACGATTTGACGTGTGTTTCAGTAAGTCAGAATATATTACAACTCATAAGAAAGCCTAACCTATGGTAACCCAGTATACAGTGAGAGCTGCTGTGTCTTATTTTACATCACTACAGACTTTTAAAATATAGCAATATAACTGCATTGGAAGAGATATGGACAAAATGAACTAATAAGAATTTTCTATCTATCTAATTCCTATGATTCTTCCTGGCACTCCATTGATTTAAATGAGACAAGCAGTTAAAAGGGCAGCCCAGAGAAATGCTAGTAATCATGATTTCCATTGAAATCAGGTGGAGTGGAGGATACACAGTACTTTGCATGAGGTGTTCAGCAGGTGGCAGGATCAAGCAGGCCCCTTTTATTATTATTTTTGTGTAATTGACATGTTCTCTCTTCCCTATTGGTAGAAGTAGGTACTATCAGTCTACAGAGAGTTGCTTTGGGAAGCAGGAGTCTGACCTCCGGAAACCTTATACTGATGTTTTATCACATTTATTTATCTTGGCCAAGATTTTCAAACGTGACTAATGATTTTGGGGTGCTTTAGTTTTTGGGAAGCAACTTAAAGAGGCTTGGTTTTCAGACAGTGCTGAGCACTTGCCCTCTGAAAATCAGGCCCCTTTAGTCTCAGATTAAATAACAAAAACTGAGACACCCAAACTCACTAGCTACATTTGAACACCCATATGTACAGGACACAAATGAAATTATAGCATTAGCTGCATTTCTGAATTAGGAGAATGCAGCTCTAGCCAATTACAAGGAAACAAATTCTGAAAGTACCACCATAAAGACCAGGCCCAGGCAGCTGAACATAACTTCTTACAAAGAAGACTTGGAATATGAATAAAGCTACAGTCCCCTCTGTGGCGTTATCCATCTTCAAGCACTATCAATCTCCTTATGTTTTCCTTTTTACTCTACCCAACTGCTCTTAAGGTCTCATATTACAGTGACCATCTAGTGGTTAGGGCACTGGCATGGGTTCAGTTCCCTGCTCTGCCATGGCCTTCTTGTGAGACCTTGGGCAAGTCACTTAGCCTCTCCGTGACCCATTCATTAAATTGCGGAAAAATACTTTACTATCTCACAGGGGTGTTGTGAGAAGAACATTAAGAAGATTGTGAAGTGCTTTGAGATCTAATGATGGAAAGTGCTGTATAAGAAATAGACATTATTATTATTATTAACACAGAGGAAGACATCCAGATCTGGTTTTCCTCAGAATACCCGCAATCAACATGGCTTCTGTATTAGCTAACTCACCAATACCTATTCTTGGAAAGTCGAAGAGAATTGGGAAAATACCAGAGGACTGAAAAAAAGCAAATATAGAATCAATCTTCAAAAAAGGAAAGAAGAGTTACCCTGGCAACTATAGACTGGCAATTTCAGTTCCTAGTAAAACAATGGAGCAAATATGAAAAGAAAAGTAAAATCACTAAATGGCTAGAAGATAACAGAACCATGAGCAAAAGTAGCACAGATTTATAAAGAACAAAAGTTGATAGCTTTTTTAATAAAACTACAAAACTGATAGATGAAGGAATGTTATACAGTATATTTGGAAATTAAAAATTTTATTATCAGCATTAAGCCAAACTGACTTGATTCTGTCTCATGGACTGGAAACAACCTAAAGGACCTAAATAAGGAGAAAATTATAGATGATGATGATGTATTTCATTTAGGAGAGGTTTCTAGCTGGTATCAGTATTAGGTCCCATCTTACTGAATATTATTATTAGTGACCAGTGGAGTGAGCAGCACATTAATGAAAAGTATATATACTATTAAACAGAGGCCTTAAGATAACAGAAATAATTCTTAGGAATTTTGAGAGGTGAGAAATATGGGCATGAGGCAACAAAATGGGATTCATCTTAGAAAACAGTTATCCATCTGGGTGCAAATAATCTGATATGCAAATATTCAAAGTGAAGGAGAAACACTTAGACACATCCTTCCCTCTGCTATACACTGCAAAGGGCAGCAAAACAGGTCAAAAAATGTGCATGAGGGAACCATCCCTCTATAACATGCTTCCCCCGGACACCACAGAAGCCCCTCTGATGAAGGTCCCTGGGGCTGGAGCTTTGCAGTTCTAATGGGTGCCAGGCTAAAGGAAAGGGAGCAGACTATGACCACGACTTGCTTCCTCTGCAAAATGGAGATTTTTTTCAGTTAGAACATTGTTAGAATCTCTTCCATAGGCAGGGGCATGATCTAGATGTTCTAATAGGAGCTGGAAATGACCTATTTCTATGATTTATATGATTCTCTGCATTGTGAAACTTGTGGCCAGATTTTCCAAAAAGCTCTTCTGAAAATCCAGTCACTTATTTTGGTGCCTAAATGAGAGCTGAACTCCAACCCTTCTGGAAATTCTGGCCTTAGTCCCTATTGCAAAGCCCTTCCAGCCCTGGCCTGTCTGGGATCAAGGGACCACTGTAGTTCTGAACTTCAATCCAAAACATGTACCACTTTGTGCTACCACAAGACCAATGGGCAGAATTACATATAATATCCAGTGGAAGGTTTCAGAGTGGTAGCCGTGTTAGTCTATATCAGTAAAAACAACAAGGAGTTCTTGTGGCACCTTAGAGACTAACAAATTTATTTGGGCATAAGCTTTCATGGGCTATAACCCACTTCATCAGATGTATGGAGTGGAAAATACAGTAAGCAGGTATAAATATACAGCACATGAAAAGATGGGAGTTGCCTTACCAAGTGGGGGGTCAGTGCTAATGAGGCCAATTCAATTAGAGTGGATGGCCCATTCCCAACAATTGACAAGAAGGGGTGAATATCAACAGAAGGAAAATTACTTTTTGTAGTGCTAACGAGGCCAATTCAGTCATGGTGGATGTGGCCCATTCACATCTAACAAAGTAATATATGCCATCATGTGCCAGCCATGTACAGTAGCCAAACTGGACAGTCTCTACACAAAAGAATAAATGGACACAAATCAGACATCAAGAACTGTAACATTCAAAAACCAGTAGGAGAGCACTTCAGTCTCCCTGGACACTTAATAACAGACTAAAAAGTGGCCATTCTTCAACAAAAAAAACTTCAAAAGCAGACTTCAATGAGAAACTGCAGAACTGGAATTAATTTGCAAACTTGACACCATCAAATTAGGCCTGAATAAAGACTGGGAGTAGCTGGGTTAACAGAAAAAATAATTTTCCCTTTGTTGATACTCACACCTTCTTGTCTGTTGGGAATGGGCCACATCCACCATGACTGAATTGGCCTCGTTAGCACTACAAAAAGTAATTTTCCCTCTGTTGATATTCACCCCTTCTTGTCAACTGTTGGGAATGGGCCATCCACCCTAATTGAATTGGCCTCATTAGCACTGACCCCCCACTTGGTAAGGCAACTCCCATCTTTTCATGTGCTGTATATTTATACCTGCTTACTGTATTTTCCACTTCGTGCATCTGATGAAGAAGAAACACTTAGACACACAAGCTTATGCCCAAATAAATTTGTTAGTCTCTAAGGTGCCACAAGGACTCCTCATTGTTTATCCAGTAGAAGTTACAGCAGGAATCAATCTAAAGAAGCCTTGGAAGAAACCGAAACACTAGAGATTTAAACAAGGAAAATGGATTGCATTCTAATTATTAAAAAAAAATATGGAAAGTGTGGTAAAGGATCATTACTGTATTTTAAAAACCTTTTAAACTGGCCAACATGTTCATTGGCACTGGCTGGGTTACTTTTGCTTTTTGAGTCACCCAACAAATTATAATTTTTGCTTTTACTAACAAGAATCCTTTAACTGGCAAACTTACAACAGAACTGCTCAGGGCTCCAAATTTGCTCTTTGTAAAACTGCATTTCATTGCTAGATCAAAGAATCAGTAATCATCATTTTGCTTTTTGTAGCGTTCCATTGCTACAGAGTTATATTAACTGGCTGCATAAAAAATAGCTTTGATGCAAATTTATATTCCAAATACTTAAACAAGATGCAGGAAATCATCCTGATTCTACAAAGAATTAAAGCCAATAAATCTGCCAAACGTGCAAATAATACATAAAGTTTTAAAAATAGTTTTCAAGATAATGTAAAATAGAAGTGAATGTTATGTTCTACTTTAAGAATTGTAATTTTCTTCTTACCCGGTATTTATATCTACCTATAAATACCCCAGTGTTTGCTATGACCCAGACCAACCACCCCACTGTGATCTCAGGAATTCTGGAAGTGAGTATTAAAAAAAGCAGTGTGCCCAGTAGACATTTAGGGTCAGACCTTTGGCTTCTTGTTCCCTTTGCATTGTGCCAACCTGTTAAGTTTCCCCAAATTTTTAGTGCCCCCTTATAAGCTCATAGATTTTACGGCCAGAAGGGACTATTGTGACAATCTGTTTGACCTACTGCATAACACAAGCCAAAAAATTTCACCTGTATTGAGCCAGTTGAACTACATCATCTCTTTTAGAAAGACATTCATGCCAAGCTGACTGGAGTAGCTCAGGAGTGTGAATACCAACCTCACGGCAGACTGTTGAAAAGCAGGGTACACGCCCCAAATTGGTTGTGAGTTCTACATTTAGGTGTCACCAACCAAATATCAAATGTGAACTCCTCAAACACTAGTTAAAAGCCTTAACATGGAATCACAGAAAGTCCCCTTGGATACTCCAGTCTATCTTGCCACCCAGGCATATTTGCCTTTGTGATAGATGGTCCCTTACACCAAAAATCACAACAATATTCAGGTTACTCCCAGTCCCAAAGG